TTAAAATTCTGATTAATAATTGCGGTAACAAGCCTTAGCTTAAATTTAATGCTAACTTCTAACTTTAAATAAATCTAAAAAAAACTGTACACATTATTTTAATTAGAGATTTTACTAATATAACAACGGACCAATACCTCTTGATACTTGTAAAGAGACAGTTCATTTCGCCTTAAACTAGTATAAAGTACAAATATACTTTTGATATGAACGTGTTAATATTTCAAACATTTGTATCAATTACGTGACAATTATTGAAGTTATTGAACACATTCTTTATGCATTAGACGTAGTATGATTGTTTTATTTAGTTTTTTTCTTACACCCACTATAACTAGAATCAACGCTCAGTCGGAACTATTTATAGAGTAACTCTACTGATTCCAAAGGGATCCTTCAGTCGAACCGGTTAAGCTTAAAGGGACTACACATTTACGAATTATTTTACTTGAAAGGTTGCTAAATGCAAAAAACGCTAAAGACTTAACACCTATTAGACATTAGGGTAATGCTAAGACGAGTCCAGGGAGGCCTGGAGTTTGCTAAAACCACTGTGTTCCAACAATTCCTAGAAACCCCATGTAGATAATTTAAAAGTAACTTGTCAGTTTTACATGATAGTAGTTTCTTTGGAGTAAAAAAAAGTTTATTTACTAATAGCCCTCCCTTGATCATCGACCTCTCTCCTGCCCCCCTCCCTTGACCATCGACCTGCCCGTACCGGTCATCGACTGGCGGCGACCCCCATGGGGTGTTGTTTCTGCATATATCTATTTAATTATGAGTTCTCTCGTATCCTAAAATACTTGATCGATTATATGAGGAAACGTCATCAGAATTAAATTTTGAAATCTAGGAATACAGTATAAAATATTATAAAGAGGAAAGATTTGTATTTTTGTATGTATTCGATTCACGTAAAAACTACTGGGTTGATTTTAAAAATTCTTTCATCATTAGAAAGGTAGTTTATCTGTGAGTAACATTGTCTATATTTTTTATTGTGTTTTAATTTGACGCAGACGAAGTCGCGAGCAAAAGCTTGTACAGTAGATTAGTGTAATATTACGAGGTGTATTATTGTTCGCCGATTTTCCCTGCATGAATGTACATGTAACGGTACGCCGCACCTTTAGTCTCGTTATTATAGTTCAGGAAGCAATGCTGCAGAAAATTAATAGCTTAATCTATTACAAGACATGGATCTAGTAATTTTCCTAACGTTTAACGTCAGTTTACTAAACGTTCGAGATATTTATTACACAATTATTCAAACTTCATGGTTTACTGGTAAACGTATACACAAGACAAAAGCTTTGTTTATTTCGATTAACCTAAAAAATACTTTGTATTTCTAATTTTTATTTTAATTTTAAAAGCGGACATACTTTAGTGGCAAATCTTTATGTAATATAAAAATTCTTATAGTTACATTAAGTTGGAAAAGGTCGTCAATAATATTTCATATCTCAGGAATCTTCCAGTGAACATGCCGTCGAAATCTGTCCAATCGTTCAGGACCCGAAACAAACACGGTTTTGCGGACAGGCAGGCAAACATTTTAAAAATCGAATTCTCGTTATTAGCAACACAAAGACATCATTCTGTCGAATTTTTTCTTCGTTATTACATAAAGACACTCGAATTTTATGAAGTGTTTAGATGATAACTAACGTAAACAATAGTTTTATGATAGTTTACTATTAATCATACTAATATTATAAATGCGAAAGTTTAGATGGATGGATGTTTGTTACAGTTTGTAGCCTAAACGGCTGAACGGATTTCTATGAAATTTGGTATAGATGTAGAGGATAGTCGGGAATAACACATAGACTACTTACTTTTGTTTTATTTATTCCACGCGGACGGAGTCGCGGGCTTTTGAATTACAAAACTGATCTTTACGTCGACGGAAAATATTATTATAAAACAATAACATATCCGAAAGGTATCCGACCGCTGGGAATCCCATAAAAGCGAGACAATAAGAAAAAAAGCATAACTTATAAACAAGTTATTACAAAAATTTCCAAACGCACCACAGTATGTGAAATATATAAGAAAAAATTATGGCATTATAAATTCATAAAACGTGTCTAAATAACAAACGTTAATAGCAGTTAGTGAATCAGACAGCTACTTGGCAACTTAACTAATGCTGAGTTTCTGAAGTTTCCACTTTGTCATTACTTAGCGATTTATTTGTGTCAGGTGGAGCTATGTTTTAACGGAGTAAAACTCAAGCTGAACGTCAGTTTAACATGATAACACTAACGAATGGTTAAACATAGCTAAAAACCGGCCATACATTAGATATTAACACACTAACGCCCCCTTAATGTGGGAAGCGGTCCCGAGATCTCTAAAGCAATACACCATCAATTACACTATCTGTACTCTATTCTAGGTCAACAATCTTCAGTTAACATTTAAAAAATCACAACAATTCTTCTAACAAATAAAAATCAGTTCAGAAATACTGTTTACAATTTTCCTTGCAATTTTCAATCGAGGTTTTCCTCTCTTTAAACACGTGGCTAATCGAAGCATTTATAAGTAGATAGTAATTAGTTAACTACGAATTAGTTAGACATTGAAGAGGGGGTGATGGGGAGGGGTGCTAACGGCGCAACTTCCCGCAAATTGCCTAATGCTTTCACACGAGGGAGGAACAGAAACGCAGAGCAGTAACATTGCAGAGCACTGCGATTGATGCATATCTTACGAGATAGAGGGCGCTAGTATGTTATCAAGATTTACTCTACATTATGTAAATCTGTTCGAATACTAGAATAGAAAAGATAATAAAGGTAATATTAAAAAAATGTCGGTCTTTGAATTCCTGAACATTTTGATATGTTTTAACGATTTTAGTAGCTATATTGTAAATTAATTTAGACTTTATTTATTACTGTTTTAAAGTAAGCGTTTAAACAATACTAGTAATACTCCTCTGGCTTCGTGTGAAATCAGCGTAATCACAAAATAACAAACTGTCCCCAACTGGAATCACATTTCTATCGCCGCTAATGCGAATACAAACCGTACTAATGTTACAAACGATGTTACTATAACTTCCATGTGTGTTCACTACTTAAACAAAATGTAAGCAGAGTCAGAAATGTCAGAAATGAGAGGAAATTTGAAAGTAGCGCCAGTGCTAGAGAAATTGAGAAGCAAAAGGTTAACGTGGTATGGACATGTTATACGACGAAACGATGGGGACATAAACCAGAAAGTGTTAAGAATGAATGTGGATGGCTACAAAGGTAGAGAAAGACCGAAGAAAGTATGGATGGATTGTGTGAAAGAGGATATGCTTAAGAAAGGAGTGGATTCAGATATGACGGCTGATAGAGATGTATGGAGCAGCACATACTGTGCCGACCCTCCGTAAGGGGTAAGGGCAAGTTCATGATGTAGGCAGAGTCAGAAATGTAATTTCAAACTTTGTAGCTTTGACAATAAAGTTCTGTAAGTATTTTAAAAACTACTCATTTGACAGTTTTCTTTAACGGTATCTAAAAGAAAAACGTAAAATGAAATGGTCATATTATCGAATATACTCTAAAAATTCAGTGTTACAAATTAAAAAAAGTTAAATCATGTTAAGTGTACAAAACAGTTGCCTTGAAACAGGATTTTTTTTTCTTTGTAACATATTTGTCTGATTCGTACTACAATTGTGAGTAATTAAAACATAATAATATAATTATATTACAATTAAATCTCACATTACGGCTACATTTGTTCACACTGTGTGAGCACGTGTTCAATTTATCTTTACTTAGTACAACTTAAGGATAACTTCGATTTAGTATAAAGTGATTCGACCGGAATCTTGTATTATTTAACTGAACATTTTGAATCTTCAGTTAAAACTGTCAATTCTCAAATATAGATAACTAATTTTCCCCCGCGACTGTCCGCGTGGAATTAAAAAAAAAAACAAAAGTAAGTAAGCCTATGTGTTCTTCCAGACATCTGTGCCAAATTTCATCATGAACCGTTCAGCCGTTTAGGCTACAAACTCTAATAAACATCCATCAATCTAAACTTTCGCATTTATAATATTAGTAAGAAGTAAGATGGTTACAAACTTGATAGATTTCACTATATCATATACTACAAAAGCTACATATACAATTGTCATCGCAATAGAAAACATCCAGCTAATTTAGATGTAAAAATTATTAGCGTCTGAACTAGACGCGACCTTTACATTGAATTAATTCTCAAACTAAGTAATAAAGCCTCGTACGAAGACACAACCGGTCTACCTTTTTTATTAAAAAAAACATTATTCTTGTTTACTAGACAGAATAAAAGATAATTCACTAATTACGTTATATCAAAGTTAGTGACCAATTAACGAGTCTGAGTACGACTATTAAGGGTCATATTGCTCGCATTACATTCATTAATGTCTTAGATATTTATTATTATTTAATTTTAAAAATAACTCGTCTTGTTGTAACAGATTGGAGCGGTATCG